GCAATCCAAAAAAGGAAACCAAAGTGGTCGCAAAGGTGGTTGCAACCATCACCAAGAATTGCGACCAGCATCTATAAATCCTTTCTTTCCTTGATAAGTTTCAAGTGTTTGAGTATCATTTATTTTGAAAATGTAAGGAGCATTTTTTTTCACCTTGTTCCTTTTTCAAAATATTTCTAATGGTGCTATAATTCAGTAGACCCAATGTAAATGAGTTTCATATTAACTATTTTTGTCTAGACAAATATCACGATCACATTGCATTGGTAATACAATACGATGTTAACCCTGAAATTCTTTGGTAATACCAATGTTCACTTTGGTTTTGTTGCAGCATGCCCCACATAGGACATACTGCACGCAACACAGTGAACGTTATATTACCTAAAGATTTCAGGGTTTAAAATTTGATGTAATTGTGATAGCATAGTTATATCCTAATAAGTAAATTTATTTCATTGCCCTATGTTATCGACGACATTATACAATGAATAAATAATAAAACTCCAAATTGTCTAAATTATATATAAACTAAATTTTTATTTGTTGCCATAGTCATCTATTGATGACGTCTGAAATTAACTAATCTTTATCATCATTAGAAGTTCATAAAAATTGTCAAATCGATTTATTTGTATTTTTAAAAAGTTTTCATTTGAATAAAATAAAAATTTTCATCTGAAAGCAAAATTTTTTTCAATGGTGTCGATATTGATTTCATGTGAAAAATGCGGAATATTTAGTAACATATAATTATCTGTTTTTCTCTTTTTTTTTTGTTAATATTTGTATTCATTTATCCTCATGTCATTTAAATCATATTGTGAAAATTGAGTATTGGCAAGGTAAAATTTGTTGTTTGTAATGACCTTTTTGAAATTCACAACAGACATAATTAATGAAATGAGACTAAATTTAGGTAAATTTGTAACAAATATCTATGAGAACCAGAATTGGTTTTGAGCATAAATTTATCAACACTTTATTTGGAGTAAAATGACCGATTACCTTTGGAAGGAAGAATTGAACAGATTCTTTGAAAAATTTGAACTACTGGTGAAATAACTAACATCTATAACCTAGATTTAAACCGACCAGCTAATAGTCAAAATAAAAAAAAAATAATTATAATTCACGAAGCAAACAAAGAAACAAACCCATACTTCCTGAAAAGAAAATCAAAACCATTATGTATTTTTCTACAAATTAGATGTCCCAAATTTTCGTGATAACATAACAAACATAATTATTTCATTTGGGCATACCAGATAAAGTATTATCAATAATTTCAGTTGACACCACCGTTGTTATTGTACTCAATATTATGGTTTTAAAAGTAACGGATAATAATAGTACTAAAATAAAATTTTATTATTCCTTGGTTGACATTATCTAACAAATTATACATCCCAGTAAAGGAAAAATATTATTTTATATGTTGGTTAAAGAAATTGCATTTCTTATGTATAATTAATATAATTTCGATTTAGAATTTGATTATTTTTTTTTTTTTTTTTTTTGATTTCAAAGATTTTGTTATTATTGTTATTGATGATGAACGGATAAAATTTTAATATAATAATAAATAATGATAATAATAAGAAAGTATCTAAAAATTAATATCGAATCCGGAAGAAAAGAAAAATTGTAATGTGCACTAATTGACTAGGTGTCATTTATTAAAATAGTGGTGGTTATTTTTTCACTCTAGTAAATAAATTTTTTTTACTGATAATATTCTTAATACCTTGTATTTCATAAAAACTTATTTTTCTTCGAAAAAAAAAATTAGTTTTTATTTTTACTATATGCTCTTTACATTGTTGAAAGAAGATTTATTTCTTAGTATCAAAAACCAATCCATGTTGACTTTTTAACTTAATAGTAGAAAAAAAATTAACAGTAATGAAAGAAGGACAAGTCAAAAAAATTGAAAAGTTTTTTTTTAATAGTGTTAGCTTTTGGTGACTATTAATTCTATCTATCTTGTTAAATTTGGGAACCCACGGTCAATTAAAAAATTCCTCCTCTTTCAAGTAATTTATTTTATTATTTACTTATTTTATTATAAAAAAAAAAAAAGTTTTTTCAAATTTTTTCTCAAGAAAAAGTCCAGCCAAGAATCAAGTTCATGAAATCCTGTTTTTCAAGTTAATGAAATTCCTGACAATGTGATGATGCCTTTTGTTTCTTATATTTATTATTATTAATTAATTAAAATATACCTATATTTTAGAGGTATCATCAATTGCAAAAGTTATAAAAAATGCTAGTGTTGGGAATTATTGGTTCCAGTAGGAAAAGTTTAGAACATCACTGGAACATTGGAAACACTGGAACTGCTGGAATCATAAAGAAATAACATATGAACGTTATTTACAGACAGCAAATGTAATACTAAAAGGTAAAGCAGATTTATCTGTTATCTGGATTGAGATCAAAAAAGATATACACCAAGATGAGGCCCAAGTAAGGTTGCCTGTCAAAATCTGTTTAGCCTGATGCAGAAAGGTAAAACCTCCTACATAGTGCCAGAATGCCGGAAATTCTGAAACTGCCGAAATGCCGAAAATGCCAAAACTGACAAAAATGTCAAAAATGTCAAAAATGCAAAACTGCTGAAATGCCAAAACTGACAGAACTGCCCAAAAATGCCAAAATGTCAAAAATGTCGAGAATATCAAAAATGCTGAAAATGTCAAAAAAGCCAAAAATGTCAAAATATCAAAACCGCTGAAATGCCAAAACTGACATCTACCAGATTCAATTATATAATATGTAAAAATTAATTGTAAATTAATTAGATTATTAAATAATCCAAAAAAAACGCATATAAAATCAATAATATTCTAAACACATTGATAATGATTATTAATTAAACAATGTAAAAAATAAAAATAAAAATATTTAAACAAATTAATTTCTACAGTGCGGATCATCTATACTCGAAAGTTAAAATTTTTGAAATATTACGTGATACACATTAAGGTTGTGGTGAAAATCCTCCAGAAATCATTCGACAGAGTTCGACAGGTTGCACGTTAATTGTTTATTAGAGTTTCAGCAGAGTTTCGCATTTGGGGTTTTTGTCAATTGTCAAGAGTTTTGACAAGGTATATATATACTAATTGTTCATTAGAGTTTTGACAAAGTTTTGACTAAGAGGTTTCGGCAAGGAACCTTAATCCACACGTTGGATTTTAAAAAACCCACCACCATTCAATTCAGCTTTAAAGAGGGAGTCTATTAATCTAAAAAAAAATTTGTCTCAAATTTTCTTTTCATAGATTTTTTAAATTTGATTAATAAAAAAAGGAAATAAATAAATCAAATAAATTAAATTATAGAAAATATTCTGTGGAAAAAAAGTTGTTACACGAAATTTACTTGTGTATAACAAAATTTTGAGTTTTCAAAATGCTAAGACTCAGCCAATTTTCAGTTTAAGAAAAAACCAGCCGATAAGTTTTGAAGCTTGAGTCACGAACAATAAAACTAAAATGATATAATTTTTTATTTTTTTTGTTTTAGTATTTTGAAGTTGACCAATTGTTATTATAAGCAATTAATGATTATAGATGATCTGCATCGTAGTCATATTGTTTTCTATTGAAATGCATATATACATATATATATATACATAAATTATGTATAATGATGTGAATTTTGAAAAAAAAAAAATCACTAACAAATTCACCTAATAAACTATCTATATCGTAATCTAAAATTCCTTTTCCATCCTCATTGGTCATATTGGCATTTTCATATTCATCAATATCACTATTGTCATAATCACCTATCTAATACATCTTCCAGGATACTGTCAATTTCCTTGATTATTAAATTATGCAACAGGTTCACAAATTTTTCAATCCATACGTTTTCAACCAAAATGATACAATTATCTTCAGGTATTGTTTCACGATTTATGAAAAACTTCACCTTCACTTTCATTGTCATTATCATCTGTCTCAGCAAATGTTCTGAAGTAGATATATTTATTTCAGCATCACTTAGATGAGTTTTCTTCTTATTATTTAATCCATAAATCCAAGCATCGGATTTCCAGTACATGATCATTTTAGATATGGATTCTAGTCATTGTAAATTGAGATTCAAATGTCATTATAAAACAGCCATCCAAGCATAGAAAATCCACATTCACAACTTGCGCATATTGAAAACAGATGATGTGCTAGTGTTGGAAGAGTATCTGGTTGTGAATCTGTATCAATAAGATTCCATCAGCTTTAGGGTCTTCTGAACAGCAGACAATATCAAGGTCAAATGGCTCTTCATGATCCTTATATTTTCATAACTGCTCACATAAGATTTTTTGACTCATGGAGGTCAAATCCTAACCTTTTTCCAATTGTCATCACACATTTGACAACCTTTGCATATGCTCCTTTTTTGAGAGGTGTATTCCTAAAATGGGGACCTAAAAAAAAGCATGTAAGGTACTTATCATCATAAAACCCTTCGAATCTTTCATCCATTACTTTAAAGCAATGATTACAGAGCATTTTATTGAATGATTTTGGTAATTTTTTAAAACTGCTGCCAATTGTACTAAGTTTAAAAAACAGTCAGAAAGTGTGACTGATCTTGACTCTAAAGCTAATACTGCTTTCCTTAAAGAGTCTAAAATAAATGCAAGGATTCGTAAATTAGAAAAAAAATTTCTCCCTTGAATTATATGTTTTACTTTATCATTTAATAAATGATTATGTTGAGAAGTAATCTCCTTGAGAACTGGTTCTAGCCTTATCACTGATTCTACTGATTCAGTGGCAGTCCAGCGTGTCTTGCAATACATTTTTATCCCTCCTCCATTAATTTGTTTTCTTTAATTAGTCAGATAAGCACAGCACCAGCTCAATGAGAACTTTTAAAAAAGTGGCTAAATTATTAACCTGTTGTAATATGCAATCAAGTTAATGGCATGTGCTATACAACAAGCATTCTATATATGGATATTTCTGTTGAATAATTGCATGTGCATTTTGAACATTTGAGGCATTGTCTGAAACTATGACTGATATTTGATTCACTCCAACACTTTCAATGACTTCTTCAATTACAATGTAAAGTTTCCTATCAAAGAAATGATCAAAGATTAACAAAACCATAAATATACAATTTAAGCCAACAAGATTCCCTACCTCAACATGTAGCAAAGATATTATAAGCTTCTCTATAGCTGGCAAATAATCAATTGATGTAGGTAGTTTAACCTTTTGTAATAAACCTAAATGCCAAACACCTTTAGACCTCCAGTCTAGCCCATATATATTGTAGTTATAATCTAACATAAATAGATCAGGTTGTATATTAAGAGTGTAGCAGGAAAATATTAAAATTATTAAACTTATTATATGAATATACTCCAAGAACAAAAAGTTTTGGAACTTGCTTGGCTCTACACCATTGCTTTCTATACCTTCATTAGTTAACACTCCTGCAACAAAACAGCTAAGTCAACTTTGTCCATCCATTTTTTTCCTTTTGTTGCTGAAAGAAGTCCCCCAGATCTTAAACCAATTAACAATTCAAATTGGTCTACTAATTCTAAAGTCAACCTTTTGACCAATTAAACTTCTGTCTGTGGGTTTTGTTTTGAGGTTGGAAATTACAGATAAAGCAAGACCTTGAATCTCACCTCTGTGCATAATAAATTAATCAAATTGGCTAACATATAAATGACAAATATACAATAAAAAACTTACTCTTCATAGTGATAGGTTTGATCAAAGGTCAACATCCTTTTTGTGAATGTGTTTGTAAAATTGCTTCCAAATGCAGCTTCAGACATTGGCAATTGTAAGCGTTGAAAATTGAATGCACTATTTAATTTTAAAATTGTTAAATATTATGACTATCAAAAGGCCATAATAGAATAGGCAAAAAACTTACTATGTCTGAATAAGTCGTCTAATGGTATTTACTTTTATATTCCCCTATAAATGACAATCATTAAACCTGTGCTTTCATAAGGAACCAATACAGTGATATACACACTTTAATTACACAGCTTTCAATGCCAGTAATTAGGTCATGAGGATTCTTTGCCAATACCTAACATAAGAACAGAGAATGAATTGATATGCTAAATAAAAGATAATACTACAAATTCACTAACCTCATTAATTTTGTCCATGAGTTTATAGAAGGGCCTTTCTTGTTCATTGTTCAAATCACTCAAATTTACATTATTGTTAAAATCTCACTCCATTCATCATCTGTAAACAATTTTTTTACTTCCATATCCTCTCCAGAAAGATCTAATATTCCAAATAGGCCGGACTATAAATAAAAATATCAAAAGTTAAGAAGCAGGCACTGAAAAAATATGTTTATACTTACAAATCAAATGTAACTTACTAGAGGTATGAGGAATTTTTTCACAGTATTTGGATAATATTACACCAGCATCTCTCCCACTTGACAAAATCCAACTTGTAATGGGATTAGTCAATGTCTAAATTAAAAGAAAGGATGAATATTATGTAAACACAAAAAAAAAGAGATAATAACATAGATTTTAATACACAAACCTTTTCTATTGGGATTTCTTCTTCACAGCACTCTTCATAATCCTGGAATACCTTATGATCATTGGCATCACTATCTGTTAATATGTTTGGATTCATACTAAATACTTTGTTGTCATCAAAATCCACTTCATCATTTGTATCTATCTCTAATTTGTCATCAAAGGTCAGTTTGTCTACATCCTGTTCCTTTTGCATTTGTTTTGTCACCTTTTTTTTTCCTCAAAGTCATGCATTTCCTTTCTCTTTGTTGTTAGTAAATTAATCTTCTTTTCTAACATATTAGTCCTTATTTGGCAAGCATTTTGTTCCCAAATGATTGAAATAAACAAGTTAACAACAATAACTTCACTAAAGCTTATAAAATGTAGAGAATTACTTTTTTTCCTATAATATAATTCGTGCTGTATTAGTAGTGATTTTCTCTTCTCAGACTCTGATGCTACTCCAAAACTGTTCTACATTGGAGGAACTAATAAAGTTATTGAAATTATTAAGCACCCTTTTGGTTGTTGCAGCATGTATATCATTCTTGGAATTAATAGTTTCCAATACTCTGAAGAGTGCCTTTTCTGCCTCTCCCCTCTGATAGGATGTAACTCCGGCCTTTTTAAAAAATTTAATGGCATTAATTTCTCCAGATGATAAAGATTAAGCTTACGTTACATCTAGACATTCACCAATGTATTGGGTGTCATCATCATATATATTTAGATTTTGAAGATTTATATCATCAATATTATTCTTAAGTAAATTTTGTATTCCCTCCATTCCTCTCACACGTTTTTCTTTACTCAATTCTTGAATACTTAATACACCACCACTTTGTAGTGCTTCCAATAAAGTAGAAGAAGAAGCATTTAAGTTTGACCCTTTTTGAATGATATCATTTATATTTCATAGAATATTCTGAATTTCTGTTTCAGATAAAAAATCTTTTGCTCTTGGTGTATCAGGACATGGATGGACCTTTTCTTCTCTAAAATCAATGACTCCCCAACATAAGGGACTATTAACATTGTTAGATAAAATTGGAAGAAATCAAAAAGACACAAAAAAGGTACTAAAACCAAATTTCTTACTTAGATAAAGTTTCATCTTTTTCTTGCACTTCATAAATGCCGGTTGCTGCTTTTTCATATTTATTAGCATTGGAAGACATGTCCCCCTATTCACATTAGAAAAAGAATGGTAAGTAATTCAGAAAATTTCAGTTTGTTAACAGAAAATAACAAATGTAACTTACAGATCTTAATCTTTTGCTATTGTTCTTGTTGTCAGATTTATATTGTCTCTTAATATTAGTTACTGTATCATCAGTTATGATTGCATGAATCTCTTTTTTCTCATATATTGTTTTGTTTAATGCATATAAAGAATAATCCAACTATTTAAAACAATAAAATTGAATTCTCACAAAATGTAAAAATACTAATGATGATTCACTAATAAAGTTTATTCACTAACTTGACAGATTCAATTGTAATAAATGTCCAAAAGTTATTTACGAGTTGAGATGATTTTTCATCCTCAAACAATGAAAAATGATATTAATATTATTAACACACTTTAAAACCAAATAAAACTACCATTAGACTAAAAACACAAAGTAAACGCCATGAAATGGCCGGAGCCTAACCACCAGTGAGGCGGACCCCCCAGTAGCAACATGGCAATATGTATATATGTTGAAATTGATCTATTTTAATATATATACACACATCCCAAGAGAGGCGGACCCCATTATCACAGACGAAGCGGACTAGGTCTGTTTACTCGGGATTTTACCTTACTTTTTTTACATTTGACTCTTTCCCTTTTTGTTATAAAATTTACCTCAAAATTAACAAGACACTCTAAAACCTTAGCGCGATTTAAATCATCTGATAAAATTATTTTTTCGAGTGTCGTCTTATAATTAAAATGCTCAACAGCCTTATCACCCGTGAAGTTGTCTGCATCTTTTCTAAATCTCAAAAATGAAACAAGCGACCAATCAGTATATTCTTTGAAGTAAGCTTGTACTTGTGGACCGCTGGATGTCATTTTTTGGAAAATTATTATATATATATATATATATATTTCACGTAAAAAAAAATTAGAACAATCGCGTTTAACGTGTTTATAATTGAAAAAAAAATTGATGCTTTCAACTGCGCCGATCACAATCATATCAATGTGTCGATCCCACAACAAACAGTCATTTAGTTTTATCTTAATTCCATCAATAAAAACATTCATTTGTTGAATTTTTTAAAAAAATTATTGAAACGTCAACGTTCGAAAAGTATGCATGTTTAAAGACGTTTTTTAACATTCTTTTAAAAGTTTTAAATATTTTAATATTTTGCAATTTTAACAAACTATGGCATTATGTAGCTTTTTTTGTAAAAAAAGGGGTTATATATAGAATGGAAATTTTATGGGTAATTCCGGTTTTTTAAGAGGATGAGAAATAGTTTTTTTCTTTTCTTTTTTTAATAGAAGGATGTGTGATATAAAAATGCTCCATTTTTCCATTTTATAGCTTTAATGTTTATATTTGATGAACCGATGGTTTTATAGATATATAGTATTGGGTGTTAAGTCTATTCAATGGTGTGATGATATGGAGGTTATGTTTGGAAAGGAAAAAAGTTTTATTTTTTAAAATTATTTTTATAATTTTTACTATTTATTTTTTTACATATTAATTAGAGGTCCAAACTCTTAATGAACAATCAAAATGTCATTAGTCAAACTAGCTAATCTTCAGCCACACCAACCTCTTATTTATGACACATGATAAAATGTTCATTTTGTCTGGTTTTGTTGCAGTATGCCCCAATTGAAACGTAATTTTTTTTAAACATTTAGGTGAAAATATTTTATCATATATTCTTTTCCATGTTAACTTGCATATTCAATGGTTTATTTGTCAAGTTAATTATTATTAGGTATTATTTATTTTAATTTTTTATATGTATAAATAAACATTAAAAATAAAAATCCAACAAACTGAAACATTATTTTAACATTTAGGTGAATATTCAATGATTGATTTGTAGTTGTTTAGTTTACTGTTAAATGATGAATTATTGTTATACAACCATCAAAGAAAAACAAATCAATATCAACATCAATATCAACTAATGGGTAATAATATTATTATCAATAAAATTCTATTGTTCATTGTAAAAATAAATTCTAAATTGTAATTCATAAATTAAATACGTACGTGTATGATTTTTAGGATCAATTTTCGCGCGACAATTTTTAACCAATCAAATGTGATCGACAAGAATGTTCACTATCCTCAAGTCACATGTATCGAATTATATTAACACTGGGCGTTACATTTGGAAATTTATCCAATCGAATTTGAATTTTTTTCCTCAGATGATCGTGTTACAAAAAACCTCGTATCACATTGGAATGGAAGTTTGTGTGACAACCAAATCCCAAATTCAAATAAATAAAAAAATTTTGTCATCCATTCACAGACTTCTCATTATTTTATTACATTGCAATATTATAATACTTCTAATTAAAAAAATCATAAATATTTTTTTATAAACAAAACTCCAGTTTTTTCCTAATAAAGAAGATATAGATTATCTTCCATTACATCATTATTATGTCCACTGGTCTTGATATGTCACTCGACGAAATTATTTCAAAAAAGAGACCATTTTCAAGAGGTGGTAATAGATCTGGTGGGTTAAATCGTGGTGGAGGAGGAGGTGGTGCTATGAAACGTTCAAGTGGACCAATAAGAAATTCAAGAACACAAACAAGACAACGACCATATAGCTCATCTGCGGCAACCTCCAACATCAACTCGATAACAGAAGGAAAAATTTTAGTTTCAAACTTAGCATTTAAAGTTACTGAGGCAGATCTTTGGGTAAATATTTTATTAAACTGTCTAAAAAAGTTACAAGCCATATATACATATATGTATATATGAATGAATGAATATGTTTACAGTTATGCAAAAAAAAAACAGCAACTGCGTATAATATATATATAAATAAAAAGATATTCGTTGGGCCAAAGCTTCGGTTTATAGTTTATTTAAATCAAATAAACATTTAGCGAAAAGCCTTCTCATTTACGAATAGAATATTATTTATATGGCTGTTCTTTACAAAAATACAGCTTTGGAACTGGAGAGTCAGAAACCTTTTCTACTTGCTAGTACAATTCTCTTCTCAAAAATACAACAAAGATTGTTATTATTATATCTAGATCTATATATTATATTTTCTAATTATCAAATATAAATACACTTATTAAAAATCAATCAAAAAAATCATTTGAAACACCCTTATTACAATATATATATATACATACGTTGCAACATCAGGAACTTTTTACAACGATGATCGGACCTGTACGGCAAATCAACCTAAATTTTGATCAAAGTGGTCGTTCAAAGGGAACAGCATCTGTTGTTTTTCAAAAAAGAACCGATGCTGTCAGATCAGTGGAAAAACTGAGAAATGTTACTTTAGATGGTTGGTGAATTAAATTATATTATATAACCTAAAAAAAGAGCAATCTTAATTTTTTTTTTTTTGGAAAAATTTTTGATAAAACATCAATTAATTAATCAAAAATATTTTATTTATATTGAAATTTTAATAGGACGTGAAATAAAAATCGAAATTGTTGTAGCTCCCAATTCCGCACCAATTAATAAGCGTATTGGTGGTGGTGTCAATGAGTAAGTTGGAAATAATTATGGTATTATTACTATTTGTTTTGATTAAATAATAAATTAAATATTATTTAATGATAATGTTTATAATAATAATAATAATAATAATAAATCGAATTAATAGAAACCGTATATCCTCTTCGACACGCGGAGGAGGTACACGTGGAGGTTCTGGAGGTAGAGGAGGAGGTAGAGGAGGAGGAAGAGGGGGAGGAAGTCATAGAGGAGGAGGTCGTAGACCTGATAATAGACCAAAGAAAACTCAAGAAGAGTTGGATACAGAAATGAGTGAATATATGCAAATTGATGAGGTATTTTTTATTTTGAATATATGATGATGATGACCATGATGATTTATTATCTTTTATTTATTTATATATATATTTTTTTTTTGAAATTAGAGTTTAGAATCGATTAATATTTAATGTATAATTGGTTAACAAATTATTTATTTTGTCAATTACTGAATTAATAAAAGTTATTTCAAAGTAATTATTTTTAATTAAATAATATTATTCATTTATATTATATTACATATTACATATATCTGATTTTTTTGTTATATATATTTTCAATTGAAAATTTAAATTTAAATTTATTATATTATTATTGTTGTTACTATTACTGTTATTATTATTATTGTTATTAGTAATACCTTGGTTTACTATGTATCAAACAATAGGATTTCATAATTGAATATATAGAAGAAAAGAAATTATTTTATTAATTTTTTTTATAAAATTTGATGATCGTTGTATATAATGAATATCTACCACTGCAACTAATTTCAAATAAACAATCACTGAAATATTTTATTCGAGCATGATAACTTTATTATTATAGCAAAAGCAAGACTTTATACTTTATTTGATTCTCTTTGTAAGTTACAGAAGAAAAAACTTGGTTCATTATAGAGTCATGCAACAACGATTACTTTTTACATTGCTATTCGATTCTGATAATTTCAACGACTTCCTCAGTGCTAATGATCTCGACTTCGATTCCTTCGAAAGTCGTTCCCTGTCTTCTTTTAAGAACTCCTTTGCCATTCTATCATTTTCATTACGAAATAATAGCGCAACAAGTTTTTTATCATCATCCATTTGCAAAAGAATGGCTTCTTCCACCTCGATTTTCTGTAATCTCATCGTATCAGTTAAGTAAACTCTACAATCTTCACAATAGACAAGTAAAGAAGATGGAAGGTGGCTTGTTATCTATCACCTGAACGTCAAATAAGTGACAATATAACAAATCTGATGCTCCAAATATCTGAACCGAAATTGTTCTGTTGTTGGGGACATAACAAATATGAGAAAATTATCAATATGTTCATAATAGTCACGAGGAACATCAGGCTCCTTTGTAAAATTAATTGATAACATATCTCATCTTTGTAAATGACGCAAAAACGTTATATATTGAAGTATCAGTATATATAATCAGACTTAAACGAGTGTTTCTTTTTTATAAATAAATGGCGTAAATATAAATTCATGCCAAGTTTGTTCTTCTTTTGTTTTGGACTTCGCTTAGTTGCTCAGATTGACTTCTAATACTATTCCGATTTACACCTATCTATAGATTGAATTATATAAACATCATCAAGTATTTTTTTTAACTGAGATCATCTTCTTCTAGTTCGATTATTGTTTTTGACTTTTGGTAAAATTTGACGGCTTAACTTCTTTACTTCTTTCAAATTTCAATTTGCCCTACTCCCCATTTAATAACACAACCCAAAATACATTTCCTTTAATTTTAAATCATCTTTTTCAATATATATATAAACATGGGTTGTCAATTATTGTAATACCATCAGATTTTAATAACGATTCTAGGTTATCTATCACAAATCGATTCATCGAATTAGGTTTTGTTGAAACACTCATTTTCTACACTGGTGATGTTCAGTTTAAGAAGTTCAATAATTTCATCCAGCTCCAGATCGTAGCACTCATGATAGTCTGATGGTGACATTTTGAATGAAATTTTTAACAAATTGGATGACAAATTTACGATGAACATATTGTAAAGTTAGACGCCTTTCTGCTTCAGATAAAGCAATGCCTTGCTGTGCAAAAAAAAATATAAAAGAAAAGGTTTTACAGTTTCGAATAAGATCGCGAAGATCAATCCTAGAGCTGATTTCCTTAATTTTATACCTTCTAGTTGCAAATAAATACTTTTCCGGAATGTTTGGTCCAATAATCTGCGTTAGGATAAGGTTAATGTACCGCATTCTTTTGCATGGTCGGTTGCTTTGATGTGTCATTCGAAGCCAAAGGCCGGTGCTTGGAACAACCTTTGCCACAAATAGCAATAGTTCAATCAGCCTTGATGACAAGTTCAATGTTCTATGTAAGAGAATTTTGAAATTATTAATTGTAAAACAACTTTTCTCTTACAAATAAGTCAGAATCTTCAAAAATGCAAAATCTTGGATCTCACTCACTCACTACCCATATAAGCCGACACATAATCTCTTTAAATTATTTGTCATGGTGAATTATGTATTAAGACAATTATAATCTAGTAACTGATTTCTGTCACTGCAACCAAATTTTACAAAAGTTTTATCACAAATTAGTCTGGTTGGACTTGATGACTGCGCTTTTTGATCTAAATGCAAGGGGTCAAGCACAAAAGCGTTTCCAACAGCTAGGATTGACGATTTATAATTTGAATATTTATTTATTGTTAAAAATATTAACAATAAAAAAAGAAGATGCTAATTGCAATTAATAGGTTAGATGATGGATTCGGGTTATGATTGATAACCATAACGTATCCTGATGAAAGGATTCTCTTTAATTAAAGAAAAATCTTAATACAGCATATATCCATCAACACACATTCTAGGATATAATGTATGATTTCCTTTTTTTTATTTCCCAAAATTCAAACTTTAACCAATTGTGGCATTAGCAGCATCAGGGACACAAGAGCGCACCATCATTATTAGTTCACACACCAAAGCAATAACGAGAAGAATAGAATTGTAGGGGTCGGATGTTATGATTTGGTTAGTGGTTTTTAAAATAATTTTATTATAAAAACGAGAAAAAGAATTGTTGAATGAATTTTCTAAAACGGTGATGTATTGGTAGATTGTCCAAGGTCTGCATCGATGGTAAAGTTATAATTACCTTTTCTGGGTGTAATATTATTAGTTGTTGGCCCCGGTGAAGGAAAATCAATACTATCAAGAAAAACAACAGACTAAAATTGTAGTATGCTTGATTCTCTGATATTCAAAGTAATGTCGCTTACGTTGAAAACTCGGAAAACACGCCATCATTTCCATTATTTAGACTAATATTCTTACCAATATAATATTAATACACGCATAGTATTATCATTTATATCAGAAAAGATTATAATTCCTATAATTAGCCTTAACATTATTAACAACAATGCAACTACTGTTGCGATTATGATTATGATTATTACTATTCTCGTCGCCCTTGCCACTATTTCCATTACCACCCTTGCTACCATTGCTTACACCATTTGTATACATCTGTACAGCTATACAACATATTATAGTACCCGAGAAAAACCATATTGTTGGCCTATAATCTTTTATAACAAAATAACTTGCGAAGGAAGAAAAAAACATTGCCATACTACTAGCATAAACTTTTGTTATATTACCAGAAACTTTGATTATAGAAGAGGCTATTAATTCTATTGAGCAGGCTCCTATAATTAAAATATGGATTAAATATAATGATGAAAGGAAAGTTTTGCTCTTCACTGCTACCATCATCTTCATTATTATTATCAAGTCATAGGATGATTCATCATTATAAGAAGAATAAAAGTAATAAACACTTCCATTAAATAACATCACAGATAAATAAAGTTCAATATTTGTAAATGCATTGATTCTTGACCAAATTTAACTTTCATTACAAATTCAGTATAAACAGATGTACCAGCTAATATCGAAGAAAATATGATATTAGAAGAAGTCCCAATTGTGAAACTATGAATTTAAATACACCGTCATTTGAAATTGTATTTGAGCTACTATTATACTAAGAAACAATAAACATATTGAAATCCATAGAATCCGGGTCAATTTCCTATTAAGAAAAATGTGCGGGAGTAAACCAGTCGTGAGAATTTTAAGATTGGCAAGGACAGTGAATGTAGGTGGACTCATTATTGATAATATTATAAGCGACAGATTATTATTGATGAAATGTGCAAAAGCCGGTAAACTAAATAGAAGATGTAAAAATTGATCTTAAAGTTCTTGTTAATGGTTTTAGATTAATTGTTGAATTTTTGATCATTATTTTTTCACATTGAGATAACATATTAATGATGGTGCTGATTAAAATTGAAAACATCCTAATTCAATTGATAAAAATATTACGGATACTATAAGATAAATAGAGAGAATGTGGGTGAAAGAGTGGAAATAATTTTAATTGATTAATTAATAATCAATTTAATAGAATGAACGTTTACATAATATAATTTTAACAAATTCAACCAAAAATAATATTTGAATGGAATTGGGTTTGTCTCTTCTTTTTTATTAGCAATTCCAACAAATAAAGATTCCTGAATAAAACGTACATAATAAAAAAGAAAGTTGTTAAAAAATAAAAGTCTTAAAAATTGGGGTAAATGGACCATAACTGGTAACCAAATTTATAAGGTCACCTCCAATTTTTCAATATTTCTTAAAACATTCAAGATGGAAACGTTTGAAACTTTAACTAATAAAATAGAAGAAGTTGTTGAAAACTGTTTGAAAGAAAATGAAGAACATTATCAAGATAATATACAAACATATTTGAAACCTTTAATTTATGAAGAAGACGGGTTGAAAGAAAATATTGATCAAAAAAAAACAATCCTTGAACACATTTTCAAAAAAATATCAATGAGATACTCGGTAAATAAGATTCTTAACGTTGATAATTATGAATTATTTATTTTAAAATGGTTTTCTTATTTATCCTTGAACTTTTATCAAGCTTTGTCCAGATGATCGACTAATTCCAAATTCGTTTAAACTTTTAGAGTTCATATTAGCGGTAGCTGAGGCAGGTGAGAAATTTCTCATTTTGTATTTTTACTTGTAGGCTTGGCACATTTATTTTATATAATATTTCGGATTAACATGTATATATACTGTTTGTTTAAAAAAGAAATGTGCGAGTATACTTTGCCTTTGACGATTTTAGAAGAATTATTAGAAATGCAACCAATGAATGTTTGTGAGAAACTATATGAATTTCTAGAAATACATAAACAAAGATTATTAGTGGTTAGTATAATCAGATCTTTTTCAAATAAACAATAATAAATGTTAAGACCAAATTACAAAAGGTGCTTAATTGATTTACTGTTTAGGATTTGAAACCTACTCAAGGAAAAGGATTGGTTCTTTTAAGACTTTCAAATGAACTTATTCGAAGAGCATCAAAATCAAATCATAATGCATTTCGTGGTCGTATTTTAATTTTCTTGTCAAATTCATATGCGCTTGGAGAACGTTCAGGTTAGTAATCTTTGCTAAGTTTTATTTAATTTATAATGATCAATTTTTAACACAAATTTGATTTTCTATAGGAGTCAATGTACGAGGAGAATATAATGTGGATAATGTTACTACACACAAAGCAATTGAAGGCGAGCAAAGACTTGTATATTTGTATTGATGATGAATTTGCATTTTCTTTTTTTTTATTTATTTACTGAATTTATACGTTTATTATAAATGATTAGACGAAGATGCAGAATTTTATAATATCTTTTGGCAACTTCAAAAGTTTTTTACTAATCCACCCAAAATATTTGAAGGGAATAATATAGAAATTGTTCTTGAAGTAATGACTATTTGTTCCCGTCTATCAATATATTTATTTAGTTAGAACTCAAAATTTTCTAATATTAACCAGTTTTCAATTTTTACAGAGTATTAATACTGTTTTAGAAAACTTTGACAATATAATGATTAGAGAAAAGGATAGGGCAAAAACAGAACAAATGAGTAGCAGTAGTAATAACAATATTGATTATCAATCACAAACCCAGATAAAATCAATTTCAGAAGATAACAACAATGATCTCGTAATGTCGAATAAATTAAATGAAGAAGGTTTAGATATTGTCACAGCTGCTAATGACTTGGTTAAATACTTTCCAAAGTACTTGACTAGCTATGCACTTTTTGATAAAGAGGTTATTATTTTTAGAAGAGAAAAAGTAAATAAATTTACCCACCATTCTAATTTTTTTTTATTTCACTTTTATAATAGTTGTCTGATCCAAATTTTAGAAGAATTATTTTATTTCAATTCCTTGTTATTTTACAATATCTTACAGGATTTTTTCCAGATGAAAAGGCTCGTCTTGAACAAGCCAAAGGTGGTGCGTCTAGTACAAATGCAGTACAGTTACCACCTTATGATATAAATGAAGAACAGGTTTTTTTAAAATAATTTTTAAATAATAATCTTTTTAAAATCAAATCCTTACACACGAATATATATCTATATTAGCAAAAAGTAATTCAAAATCTTTGGAATAGAATTTTACAACATTTAGAAGAAATTACACCAGATGGAAAACATTTTGCAAGAACAGCAAGACATATACTTCATATGGAAAAAAAATGGAATTATTGGAAATTTGCTGAAAATTGTAAAGATCTAAAAATTACTGATCCTCAAATTGATGAAAAGTTGAAAAATATAAGGAAAAGAAAACAAGAGTTATGTAAGCCTCTACCACCATTGAAATGGAAAATGGGAACAGAAAGACTTACTGAACTTTGGGATACTGCAAACAAAGTCAATGATCGAGAATTTATGGCTGATAAAAGACGTAAAAGAAATACACCTTCATTTGAAGAAATTTATAATAAAATCAAAGAAGAAGGATACCCGGTATTTTTTTTTTTTTTTGCAATAATACAATAGTAGATCAATTAATATTTTATACTTTTTTTTGAATCGTTTATTTGCTTATTTGTTTAGCCCGAAAGAGGATTTATTTTTAATGAAAATGACTCATCTGAGCAAAGAGCAGAAAAAGAAAGTGGATGGGTAATTTTATCATTTTTTGTAATGTAGTATATTTATTTAAATCTAACGTTTTATAAAAAATGAAATGATCTTAGGCAAAAAAATGGCTCGCATTAAGAGTTGCTAGACAAAATTATCTGCTTCATTTTAACAAACCAGCAAAGAAGGATGCTAAAGGAAAAATTAATAAAGAGATAGAAGAAAAGAAAGATGATATTGAAGCATTGAAGGTCTTGATCGATGAAAATCCTACATGTAGCAGCAGCGTTAACATAAAAAAAGAACAAAATTAATTTAATGCAACATTTTTCATAGCAATTTTCAAAAAAAAAGACATTTTAGGCTTTTTAAAAGGCAATTATATGACTATTTAATATCAAAAAGATCCACATTAGGAATAATCATTAATATTTAAAATAATAACTCAAATTTTACAACAAAATTAAAGGCGTCGTATAGAAATGCTTAACATTAAATATTTAAATATTTAACAAACTTTAAACATTAAACATTTAGCATTTAATTTAAGCAGTCGTAAACAAAAAAAAAAGGTTGTGTTGGTCAAAATGATTTTCGCTTTTAAGAGATCGTATGACACCACAAATTTTTAAATTATATTCTCTTTAGAAACATATGTACATACATTCATTAATTTTGTTTTTTATAAACATGGATTAGTATTACATGACTCCAATAAAGTTTATTATATTTATTATTAATACTTGTTACCGAAAATGTTGATTTTCCTTACTGCCAAATTTAGATATGATGGTTGAGTATTAGTCTAAATTTAGGAATGATGGTCAAAAACTAGTCTAAATTTAGCAATGATCCTAGCGCTCAAATTTCTCATGAACATAATTTTTTGGAGAAAATCTCTTTATTACATTAAAGTAGAAACCTATTTTACCAACTATTGAGGCTATTTTTTTAAAAGGTAGGACAGAAAATGACTTCTATACTTTTTGGTCTTTAGACCGAGCCAACTATATTTCAATTGAAATCACATATTTCACAACATAAAAAAGATCAACGATCGATTTTGTCACATGTGATAAAACGAATGTCCACTATGCTATTATCCTGATTGATAAACGATCTGCTTATTAAAAAAAAATGTCCGAGTTTAATTTTGAAGAAAACTCACATAGGCGTTTTAATCCATTAACAAATTCATGGGTATTATGTTCACCTCAACGTACTAAACGCCCCTGGTTAGGTCAGATGGAGCCTAATACTCTAGAAATTTTACCAAGTTATGATCCAAAGTGTTATTTATGTCCAGGAAATTCACGTGCTCAAGGCGATGATAATCCCAATTACTCAAACACTTTTGTATTTGACAATGATTTTTCAGCTGTTGAATCAAACTCTCCTGATTATAAAACAGAAGTTTCTGGTAAAGGAAAAAAAATTTTAAATTGATTTAAAAAGTAATACTGAATTTTTAAAATTTTATTGAAATTTTAGATAAATTTTCATGGTTGTTAAGAGCACAAAGCGTAAAAGGTCAATGTAAAGTGATGTGTTTTTCACCAAATCATAATATAACATTAGCAGAAATGTCAGAAGAGGAAATTTCAAAGGTTATTGAAGCCTGGATAGAAATATATCAAGGATTATCATCAATTCCACATATAAATTATATTCAAATTTTTGAAAATAAAGGTGCAATGATGGGATGTTCCAATCCACATCCACATTGTCAAATATGGAGCACTGATTCAATACCATGTGAACCAACAAAAGAACTTGAGTCAATGACAAATTATTTTAAAAAATATCAAACATGCTTATTGTGTGATTATATTTTAGTAGAAGAAACCAAAGGGAAAATGCGTGTAGTTTATGAAAACAATTCATTTATTTGTTTGACACCTTATTGGAGTATTTGGCCATTTGAAACTATGATAATCTCAAAATTTCATTTAAAGAATTTCAATGATTTTTCAAAATGTGATGGAAATTCATTAATAAAAGATTTTTCAAATATTCTACATATTATTACTTGTAAATATGACAACTTATTTCAGTGCAGTTTTCCTTATTCAATGGGTATACATCAATCACAAACTGACAACGATGGTAAAAATAATATTTGTGATTCACATTTTCATGTGCATTTTTATCCTCCATTATTAAGAAGTGCTACCATCAAAAAATTCTTGGTTGGGTATGTTATAAATCATATTTTTAATAATAGTTTAAATGTTTTCTAATTTTCTAAAAAAAAATTTTTTAGATATGAATTACTTGCTGAACCTCAACGTGATATCACCCCAGAACAAGCTGCTGAAAGATTAAGAAATTGTTCCGAGGTTCATTATAAAGTTCAAAAAAAAAAATAATTTTATATTATTTGTATTGATTAGTATTTGAGGAAAGAGTTATTATTTATTTATTTATCTGAAGGGGTGAAGAAAAATAGAACATTAATAATATTTTTTACAAAAAAAAAGAAAAATTAAATAATTAATAAATTTTATTCAATTTATATTTTACATGTTTCAGAAAACTCCCTATGTCATATTTTTCAATAACTAAATCTTGATTATTTTTCTTGTTAGATGCAAAAGTTAAAGACCCAGCAATTCTTTAACAATAATTGAATCATTTGTATAAAGCAAAGCTTGTTTCCAATGTGTATGGCATATTTAGGATGTGGTCCTAAATCATATATATTTAGAGAATGAGGAAAAGAATATGTATCCTAGAATAATAAATAATAATTATTGTTAGAAGAATTCAAATTAAGAAATAATTGTATCTCTGACTACTGTTAGAGTGAATGGAGTTTTTGAAATCAAGATTTGATTTCTAAACTGGATTGATATCAATTTCCTAAATTATTAAGAATACTTTAAATACTTGTATTGCAGCTGGTTTTATTACAAGAACTTTATTATGAATTTAATTAAATTGAAATCAAAGCCATAAACATTATTCCATTATCAATAATAATTATCATAATTATAGTTATAATTGTGGTTGATAATAACAATAAATACTATTATTATTATAAATTTAAATATAAATTATTACATTCACGGGGAACATCATAATGCCAGATTTCTATTAACCAAATAATAAATAATTAATATATATACTCTCTCTCCAAACAATTAATATTCCCTAATGCTAATTTAGGCACATTGTACAATTATGTCAGTATCTAATTCAATTTATATAAAAGAAAATAACCCATTTATGATGATGTTTACTTGTTCAACTGATAGTTTTACTCCTTCCATCTTGCTTTTAATGATTAATGAAGTCAATTTCTGATATTTTCAAATTAAACCACATGTTGATATATGATATGTTGAAGGTTCAATCAATTTAATTCAATTATATTATTATCATGTTACTAAATCCATACCGTTATCTAACTTGCTATCTGATGTACTTGATCAATAATATTGACATGTCGATCTACATAAAATTTATATTACTATCATACATACTCCATAAATATATTTGGCACCAGCTTTTGCTGCAAATATTCCAGCACCACAGCTTACATCTAGTATAACTTTATCTGTGTGTTCTGATAAGTTGCTAGTGTCTGAACTTCATCTTTAAGCATCTCCTCATGAATTCAAATCAACAGAGGATAATAATGAGGATGACCAAACTTTTAGAACATAAATTTACCAAAATATGCACTCGTTAAAATAATAATCATCATTTTTGAGTTTTATTTGAGTTTTCATTGTTGACATCTAAGAAATTTTACTGCGGAAACTTGCCATGTAGAATTGTAAGTTTTAGACTTTAAAAGTTTGTTGACCTAATTCGACGAAACAGATTCTAGTGAAGAAGGGTCGGTAGAGGAGATCATACATAAGCCATCAGTTTCTGTAAAGGATTCTTCAAAGGAAATTATAAGAATCTGTTCAATTATGTATGGATTTTTAGGGTAATTATAAATAACATGATAATAAAACTATTATCAAATGAATTATCTTTATAATTGTTACTAATTTTAATACAATATAAAATTACATACAGTTGTTTATTGGAAACCAGATGGAATTCTTATCATTGTTCAGGTGTTAATGTATGGATTATTGTCTTTTTAATTTTAAACCTCAAGTTGCTTGTTAATTTTAAATTATTAGATCAAAATTGATTATTTACATATAATGTCATAATTAATTATATTACTGATGTTGGTGAACAAATCATTTTTATTAAAATTCAGAATGACAATTAGAATTGATGCTGGTATGAAAGCATGTTTCTGTTAATTAACAAGTGAAAAAAAATATTAATATTAATATGAAACGAGTGCAAAATAATACGTTAATTATGTTAAACCATTTAAAAAAACTATATAATACTAACCTCTTACATTGAACATATACCAAGTACAAGTCCTACATAGACATCCTACAATAAGGTGTCTCGGGTGTAAGCCCCAACATCGTGAACGACTCTTGTTGTTTTTCTGTAATATACTTCAAAAGTATATTTCGAGCTCCGTTTACATCTCTATTAATG